TCTCACTTCCTCCTGCTCTTATGATGTTCTTTTTTTTTTGTCTGATTGTGGCGCTAGCGCGCATTTTGCTTTGAACCCCCTTGTTCGGCTAGTTCTTCTCTTTCCTTCGCTTCGGCGCTTACTACCGCCGTTTCGTCTGCTCGTGTGCTACGCTATGCTCGGACTTAGGGCCCTTTCTAACTTCGTTGATTTTGTTTTCTACCAGTGTCGTTTCCGATGTCCTTCTATTTTCGCCTGCGATTGCGTTTCTAATTGGGAGTATTAATAAATATTTTTTGATGATTATGAAATATATTAAAAATTGTAAGCTCGTTATACATTCCTATTTGGGAATTTATTTGTCTATGAGGGCATATCTGCTATGAGTCATCGTTTTTTGATCAACCGGCCGCCTTCGGGAATACACCAGCGCATACTTCGAGACGGCAGGCATGCCATGTGCTGCCTACCACCGAGAGAATACGTTTTTGCGATGCGTTGAAAAATCCTTCTTCCGTTTCCGAAAGACCGCAGAAACGTAAGTAATTAATTTACTGCAGAATTCATATGAAACTGGAAAAGCTATCCAAGTCTGGCTTCAAAATCGCCATTAACGCGTCAACAGACTATTATGACAACTCCACAGAGATTGCGGAGAACTTCACAGACGAGAGACCCGATGCACAACTGAACACCGAGTCCTATAGAGCCGGGTGGGCAGCCAGTCATATCTGTCATCATGCTTGCCAAGTCTAACTGCAATCAGAAACATGGAACACCTTGAAAGACTTTCTGCTGAAGAACAAGAAAAATTCGCATGCAGAAATGACACCACCCTCCGACATGGCTCGTAACCTAGCCGGTAACATCAGCCGTGCCTTCCACACACATCTCAGTGATATATTGCAATAGAGAGGAGTTCATCTGCAGGCGGACTTGAGCCCGCTGATCGACACTCGAAACAAAGCCACGGTGAGCAAAGCTTACCTGGACACGTGCGTCATCAAGTACTTGAATGTACTTTTGAACTGCTTTGTCAGCGAGGAAACAAAAAAAAAAAAAAAAAAAAACTGGCCAAGGTCACTGAAAACGAAATGCGAACGCAAAAAATGTCACACACTACTTGCACGTACCAGATTGCAGCGTGCAACTCTTGTTTACCGGGCAGTGTGAGCTGGACTACGTTAGACCTTTCCCCTATTTTTTTTTAGATACTACCAGCGCCGCGAAAGCAGATAAGCCAACCTGTAGCAAGGAGCTAAAAGCAAAAAGCGAAGCACGTTTTTTTTTTTATTTGTTTTGTTGTAATGCGTTTGTGTTTTTGGTATGGACTCAACACCGACGGCGAAAACCACCTGCGGAACGATCGTCGACGCTATAGGAGTTTCTCTGCTGGGATATGAATCTTTCTATCATCCGCTAATCTCTTTGTTTTATTCGCCATTGTTTGCGATTGTTCCCCATTTCTTATTTTCGTCTTGGATGAGGACCCCATCTTTTCTGCAAAGTTCGGAAAGTGTTTGCACGGTCGTTTTTCTCGTTACATTTTGTTTTTGCTGTGCTGCAGCTGCTGGTGCGCTTTCGCTGGTAATCTTAACATGTTGTTTACACCCGTTTTAATGATCACTTATTCGGGTAAGAATTTATAACACCGCAGTTTGTAACGGATCAACAGTAACATTTTACGACGATGTTCGAGTAGCTAAACGTTTTTTGTTATTTTTTTTTCTTGCTTCCCAGTCGCGCTTTAAGCACGTGTGATCCCCTGAGCGTCTTTTGAGGCTGCTAAAGAAACAGCTCGATCTATGTTTCTGCGCTCCTTGTTATTTGATTGTCGTTGCAGTTGAAATCAGTGGATTCCGCTTTTCAAGCGGACTAACGGCAGTGAATTGTTTCAGCTGTTGTGGTGGAGAAACGGGACTCGCAATGATCGAGGACGTCCCGGAGCCTATATTTTTTCATTGCGTCGTCTGCTTTCGTAGATTCTGAGTACGCTAGGGGCGCCACCGTCGCGTTCGCCGCTGCTCTGATGGGTTTTCGGGGGAGTTTCTTGTATTGGCGAAGCTATATGGTACTTGCTATAACCACGGTACCATCTGTAAGCAGGCAGCAGTGAAACAACGGCAAGACCAGGTAGCTGCTCGTAATTTAGGTTCTAAATGAAACACAGTGGGCAAACAAAAACTATATAAAAAATTAAGCGTTTTATTTGCATATACGTGTGGTCCATCCTTCTAAATACTGATATAGAATGCTAAATAAACCAGGTTCTGGTAACTTATGCTTCTTTTCTAGCCCTGGAATGCAAGGAGGTGCTTCTTGCTGCATGCCGAACATTGTGAACTTTATGGACAATTGAAAAACCTCCGTGCCGTGTTTAACCTCTAAAACTTACCATTTAACAGCATTTAGCTCATTATTGTCTACAATGAAAGCAAAATCACTGGCGGGTGAGCCTAGCACAGCGAAAGGGTTTGTTTGAAATAATCTCGCTTATACCAGGCACTTTTTCAAAATTTCTCTTTCATGCACAAACACACACACGCGCACACCCCCACCCACACACACACACACCTACCCACCCACCCACACACACACACACACCCACACACACAGACACGCGCGCGCGCGCACGCACGCACACACGAGCACGCACGCACACACACATACACATACATTCGGACGCACACACGCACACACGAAAAACACACACACACAAACACACACACACGCACAATCACGCACACGCATGCACACACACACACATTTAGAGACAGGGAGACATTTGACTGCGTACTTTCAGCACTCATATGTTTTTTTTATACAAACTTCTTTAGTGAAGATCTGTTTTTTAACACTATTTATTCTTGAAGAGTGTAAAAAGGTACGTAGAGAAGGTCGCTCAGATGGACAGAGACAACGCTTTCCTTTTAGATACGATCTCCATTAATCATTGCCTGCATCAACGCTCTTTAGCGTAAAGAGCGTAGATAAATTTTATACAATAACCGTAGAGATGTTATTCATTATGCGAAATATTGTCGAGAAAAAAGTGACATACATGTAACCTGCGTAATTGTGGCTGCGGTCAGCTGCGAATCAATATTTTTTTTATTTGTTGAGCGCGTAAGACGGTGGAGCAGTCCCCAGGGACATGATTACTTTGTCGTGTGTCCTTCATTGCGTCTGTATTTGGTCTCTTTGTGCATGTAAGAACCACATATGGTGATTGTTGCATGAAAACTTCTGCTCCTACAAAAAAAATTATGATGATGGAACGGAAGTGATCAGGATGATGAGAGTTGCGTATTTGGTATACTTTGCACATTACATATTACATATTACGTAGCACACAAAGTTCAAATCATGTTTTTGTGCATTTTGTAATGTTCATCTTCAATAGACACATAAGGTTCAAGATCCGCATGATCCAAACTGAATGTCCTAAAAATTAGGCTTTGCTCTGCTATAGGTTTGCTGTGTTGTTGAATACAGGCAGCGATCTAGAAAGATACAACCAGAGGTGCTAATAACTTGGAGACCTGAGGCCTTAGAAGACAAAGACAGCTATGATGAGTTACGTATGACACAACAGTATTCCGAAGTCGAAACATCAAAAGTATTATTTTCTATGAAACAATATCAACAAATTGGGAGAGCTTGAAGGGAAATTGTGCTCTGCGTAGTAACAATAAACATCTTTTAGAAATCAGTAATAGACATATAATCGTTTTTGGTGAAAGAGTGCGTATTATTCTCCTTGCCATGAAAAGCATTAGTTAAAAAAATACGTTTACTAATCGGCTGCTATACACCTTTTTAGCACCTATAATACGGGCAAAAAGGCTTAGCAAATATGCTGTGGACGCACAACTCGGGTTATAATATCGTGCAAAAGAGAGCTTCTGCACAAGCTCATAACCAGTTCCACAGTTCAGTAGAGAACAATGGGAGCAAGAAAAATGCAATTTTTAGAATGGTTAATGGTTACTGAAAGATTGAGAACATCCAGGCGTCACTTTTATACGCCCGGCCTCCACCGTGCGCTCGTTGATCATTGTGGTGCACATTCGAGACTCACGAGGCGCGGAAGCGTTATTCAATGAAGGAAGCTCGTGCTGGAGGCGGGAGAAATAAAGGATCTCCATGCTATTCTAACATCGTCAGTTACTATATCATTCCTTCAATTGCTTTGAGTAAGATACTAAATGATGTACGGGGCGAGGAAATATGTTTCACGATTATTAACTGGAAACTGAAGCGGTTCTGTAGTCGAGAAAAACAAACTTAAGCTATCCTCATTTAGCCTTCATTATACCGAATATTGTAATTATATATTAGGTTGACGAGTCAAGTAGCCGCAGTAGCGTTTTTAAAATGGCTTTGAATTAAGCCCCTCTATCTCGGCGTGTTCGGTGGTAGTAAAGAATCCTGATGTATTATACAAATAACTCAACACTTCCGCGCCTTCCGCAAGCCTTAACGGAGCAGTAAAAAAAGACTACAGACGTCTCCTCACAAGCGGAAGCGCGAGGTGTTTTAAACCTATAAGCATGACGTCACAACCCGCTGTATTTCTTTCTCGTGTCTCTTGATACGCTCTGGTCAAATGTTCAAGATATTCATAATACAGAGGACAAAAGTACGCTGGACTTCAGCCATAATCCTTTTTTTTTCAAGAACCCCTTGAGCTTCTTTTTAACTTTGCTTCACGCTACGCCGTTGTGTTCTGCCATATTTTGGCACTTTCACATTTAACCTAACAAACAGAAAAAATATATTTAACAAGGAAGGGAGTGCCATGATAATAAAAATGACAAAGGCATGGAGCAGCAGTTTGTTGACTTTTCTTAGCTTCTTAGTTTTTTCTTCTTTTTTTTTACGATACAGTACTTCTAACATTTCTGACGGGGCATGACCCTAAGTGTTACGGAATCTTCGCACACAGGCGAGAGATATAATACACGGAAGGATCCTCGGATAATTGCACTGAGGAAAAAACCCAGGAGCTCCGGTGAGAGATGGAAGCTGAACCAATGGTCATCGCTGCTTTCATTTTGGTACTTCTGGCACAGTAAGTCGAACTCGGCTTCAGATTGTCGTGCGTGTCATGCAGTCTGATGAAGTATGATCGTGAAAAAATATTAGTTTACCCTTAAAATTACGCTTGTCGTGCGTGTCATGCAGTCTGATGAAGTATGATCGTGAAAAAATATTTGTTTACCCTTAAAATTACTCTTTTCCTACTATAATCATATTACAATTTGTGATTACCCAAATTAGAAATAAAAATAATTATATCCGAAACTGCTTTAAATATTTATCTGGCTCCTTACACGTGTAAGACAGGGGAATTAGTATTTTCACTATATAGAGTGTATATCTACATATCAAGAACGTCATTAGTCGTACAACAAAAGATTGAGTTTGCCGTGATTTGTATTTCGGTTGTGCGTTTGGGGAGATGCATAATTTATACGATAGTTATCTGCTTGCTACGTCACCGGAACAATCGCGTTAATTTAGGACCGCTAGAAACTATTAATTTCTTACCCTAGTTCGGTTCAAAGCCTTAAAAATAATAAAACTAGCGTTTAGCATATTCAAAATAACACGTAAAGGGATATTAAATATTAGCTGCACGAAAAAATTGTTGTAAAGGCTGTTACGACGAAAGAAGTAGTGAATTGCTTTAAGGTAACTTTTGCTTACTTTTTGCCCTTTAAAAGAGTAGGAGATTGAAAACTCAGCAGTATTAAATATTATTGCTGCCCACTTAAACTGTCTAAGCTCTCTTCGTTCACTTTGCGATGGTTTTTTCCTCATCGACATTAAAATATCTAAATATAAGGGAACTAAGATATCAAGGCACTCTGATGTGTTGGAGACGTGCGAGTTGTGTACACGGGTTCAAAGACGACGAAGCAGATCGAGCACGGGGACTTGGACCTCGTGCTGACCTTCGGTCTTGCTCAAAACGCATCACTTCATTTCATTTTCATTCTGATTCTGAGTGCATAGCTGAGTTACCCCACCTACCCCAGAAACATGGTGTAAGAAGGTTTGGTACTCGTCAGCAATCGTCGACACACAAAGTGAGAGTCGGAGTACAAAAAGAACCACCAGGTTTTCTGTACTACATCGTTACAAAACTAGGCCTACTCAAGGAGATATCTGGACAAGCCGTCTCATCGGTGCAAGGCACCCCATCGATCCACGTGAACTGAGCGCTCCTGAACCCTTCACGTTCCATCCGGAGCGATAGACGACAAGGAACCGCCGCTGGTAGCGATTTCGATGGGCATCCGGATCGTATCTTAAGTCTCCGGCCAACCAAGTAAATTCTTTCATTTATCTGATGGGACCTAGAGCATAGGAAATATACCCCCCCCCCCCCCCAAGCTGTATCGCGATACATTTTTTTCACCTCTATCCTCTTGTATCAAAATATATTTGGAATGTTTCTTTGTATCGCGATACAATCAGGATGAAATGTTTTGCGTTACATTTCTTGAGAAATACCTCCCGAATATGAAAATTCAAGTCCAAACGCATTTTGTTTTTAGTTCTGAGGGCACCAGGGTCAAGGAGATATTGGGCCATTGCTGTGATGCTGACCAAGGTTCCTTCCGATTCTCCAAATTATTTTTCTACGCGTCCTCTTCTCTATTCTGAAAAGTGTTGCGTAGTCGGAGACTCGAACCAGATGGCGTGTCAGGAGGGGAAGGCAGAGCATCTTCTGCCGCCGGTCCTTAGGTAGGGATTTCTTGAGTCATCGTTTGCTGGCATCAAGTGCCCGCTGCTAACCGGCTCTCTTGCCTTAGCGTATACTGTATTCAGTACACCCAGCCGGGAAAGCTGAGTCACAGTCTGTTGCAGCACGGCCTGGTGGTGGTTGACTTGAAATAGTAGGATGACTCACGCAGTAAAGTTTAACGCATATCCTCCTGAGGCCCAGGACGATTTTACCGCAGCAGATTCTCATTAAACTTTCAAAATACCTTTTATATGGCCTAAGTACCACACTACAGCAGCTTTTACTTCCATATGAGTTCCCAGAATGGCTCAGCACAGTGTCCAATATATTGGACATTGGGCCTACACATCTTGATATTTTCAACGAGGCAATCTAGGTTAAATAGATACTTGCGTCTAAGAAAGCAAGCATTTGATTTGATCAAGTAAAATAAAGAAGCTTTTATTCATGCGAACTCAAAGATACATAAACATACAGATTATTCTTCCATACTCTGGACATCACAAATGTTGGCACTTAGTTTCTTTACTTTGTGTGAGCTTTCTCGAAGCACTGTCTTTCCTTGGTTATACAAAAGAACAACTTGCACTTGATGCAAAAAAATTTAGTTTTCATGTTACATCCCTCTAGCCTACAACGGGCCGCATTTGCTACATCCGCAAGTCTTGGCAGGTGTCCTAATGTTTTTGATCTAGCTTCGATTGGAGGCAACCTAGCCCGTTTTGCTGCAGGGGACCAATCTGTGTCACTGTCAGTGTCTGAAGGGTCCCTACGGCCTTCTGCGACAAGGGCCTCTCCTACAGACAGGCGAAACTCTAATGATTTGAGTACGTCCTTCTGTCGCCTTTGTTGGGCGCGCATGTCTTGGGTGTACAGAATTCAGGAACTGCTTAAGGCAATGTCAATAAGATGAAAGATACATCGTACAGTCCACTTTTTTACTCGCGCTTTCATTCGATAGTAGCTGATCATTCGATCAGCCATGTCAACCCCTCCCATGTTTGTGTTGTACAAGCGTACAATGTTTGGCCTGGGGACGTCTATGTGCCCCTTCTCTTTAGCTGACCATCTACGGCACGTATCTTCTGGCTCTTTACCGTGAATTGACGAGAGGAATGTGATTGACTTGTTGTCGTACCAGCGAACTACTATTTGTTTGCTGTCGTTCCTCACTTTCATCTCGGATGTTCCTCGCCCTTTGGCCTTAAGCTCTTTTTCAGTGAACAGTTTTGCACCCTTCGGGATGCGGTTATTCATTATCGTCCCTGTGCCGGCAATGCCCATCTCCGCAAGCTTATCGAGCAGTGCCCCGGAGCTGAAATACCTGTCAAAGAACAGCTTGGTTCCTGGGGTGAGTGTGTCTGTAAGCCTGAGCACAGCTGACTCGCCGATTCCAGAACTGCCTGGATGTAGGGTGGATTTCTTACCTTGGTATATTTCGAAGTCAAGAATCAAGCCGCTTGGTGTCGCAAGTACAAAATTCTTAAGCCCTTCGGGGTTTGGTTTCCGTGGCACAAACTGCCTCAGCTGTGTTCTTCCGCTAAATGGTATCATTTGCTCATCAATACTTAGATACTCCTCGCGGGGAAGCTTCTGGCAACCTTTCAATACAGACGACACAGGAGCTCTGATCCGCCAAAGCCTGTCTTGTTCTTTGACCTGCACGCTTACTTCCAGGTCATCCACAACTTTTAGTCGAGATCGCTGTTGAAAATATCGATTCCTAGACATCCTGTTCGCAATGGAAGGCACCCTTGTACTATTCTGCCAGTACATCCTGATTTGTGGGTAGCCTAGGCAGGACATTGAAACCGAAATTCCAAAAAATACTTTCAACTCCTCCACAGATGTGTCAAGGCTTTTCCCGGTCTCAGCGACATGTTTCGTGTTCATTGCCAGTGCCATACTTTCGAAAACTTCATCAGTGATGTACTGCTGGAAGTACTCATTGGGAGCCCAGGAAGCCCGTCCTTGCTGGCCGTCAGCGAAAGCAGAGAAATCTCCCATCCAAGACGAAATCGGCCTGTAAAAAAAAAAAGAAGAGTAAAATAAGTACTGCTTTTGGTTCAGATCTCGGAAAAGGCATGTAAGAATGGAAACATGTCCAGTCTTGATCCTTACCCTTGAGCGGCTTCCCGTGACGGCATCCGTTTGGTTCTGCACGAGGTGGAAGGTTCTTCATCATCGCTGGCATCATCCTCGTCTGAACTAGGTGCATCAGGTAAAGCTGGTGCAGAAAAAGTGGCGTCTGCCACATCGTCATCACTGTCTGAGAGATCCATGTCCGACGTGTGGCCCCGCGCAATTCTTTCCAGGATTTCGTCAGCTGTTGCGTCACTGATACGCGGTCTGGTCCCTAAGTAAAATAAAACAATATAAAACTGAGTAAAAATGAAAAACAAGCGGCCTCGCTTCATGAGGCGCCAGCACGAAACAAAAAGTTGCACCAACTCGCGTAGCTTGGGCATAGGCCCAACGTCCATTGTATTGGACGTGACAAAGTTTGTGAAGTTTACATAAAAGCAGACGTGCTTGAAGCTCAAATCTACAGTCCTATGTATTCTCTGTACCATTGTGCTTAATACTCAAGCAATAGAAAGTTAGAAAAACAGGTCAGATATCTCGAAAAACAACTTACGTTTTCGGCCCTCGCCGTAAAACGTGGAGCCGCTGAGCGCTGCCATTTTGAATGAGCTTGGTGGCGCTGCAACATAAACAACTTCGACACTACTCACTAGATGGCGGCACTAGGTGTCCAAAATATGGGACAACGGGTTTCTACGCGCAAAAAAGCAATACTATTGACGTTGTAGCTCAGACTTTGTTGTCCAATATGTTGGACAGAGTCTCCATTGCTGGGCCTCAGGAGGATATTCGAATGCGTCTGCGGCTGCGCCCGTAATATTGCAGGGCTCAAGGGTACGTCACCAGCCGACGTGAACGTTACCCGCTGCTCTGGTGATCCGAAACCCAAGAAGGAGGCCAGACGCTGCGTCGCTGTGCCTACCCAGACCTCGTACACCTGCGACTCGTCTCGAGCGCATTGTTTCTCGGAGAGCTCGCACCTCTGCCGCCAAAATCAAGTCGCAGTCCACGAGGCCTCTGTTTGGATGATGCTAGGCGAAACTTGAGGACTGCAATCCATGCGGCGGTGGCGGAGGGTCGGCAGGAAGGACCCTCAGAACAGGGATGCCACTGTATCGTTTTTTCAACCGTAACAGAAAATAAGACATGTATTCCAGGAAACTTCAGGTGGTCCACTATCCTCAAAAATTCCAAATAACACTGCCTGCATGATCTTCAACGAGGGAACCTAC